TAAAGCTCCCTGGTTTGCTGTCGGGGTCAATACCCGACGAGAGACCTGCATCCAGCCCAGCATCCCCGGCCGGTGGCAGTCCCCTGGCTCTGCGTGAGTGTACCCATGAAGACGGGGGGGATCCTGACTGCCAGCCCAGAGATTTTGGGCTGGGAGAGCCAGGCGTGCAAGGACAGTCCCCAGCTGCCCTAAGAGCTGCTGTTGGGAGGAGAGAGGTGCACAGGCTCCGGGAAAGCGGGGTCAAACCCGACTGGTTTGCTAGTTCAGGTTCTCTTTCCCTCCTGTTTTTACCTTTGTTCCACAGTTTTAACATTAAAAATTCGCTCCCCAGAGGAAAGAGTGAAAAGCTCCCCTCGCACACCTTACACTGCTGAAACTCCCCTGAGATCCACCTCGACCACGAAGCCCCGAGATAGGCATTAATTCGGTGGTGGCTGCCCCACCGCCCTCCCCTCTCCCCCCATCTACCTCCCCTCCCCTGGGCTGAATAGGGAGCATGAGAAACCAGGCCGGACGGGGACGGCCCCGTGCCCCTCGCTTTCTTTCAGGATCAGTGCATCTATGGGGCCGCTTGTGTTCCCCCAGCCCCTCTCCCCCCACAACACCGGGGGCTGTAATCTGGGGGCAGCGGGCTTGGAGATGGAGAAGAATGCAGGAACGGGGCGGGGGGGGACGGGGACCATCCCCTCCCACCACTGCCACCGCCAAAGCCCCAAATTCTTAGACCTGGAGGAGTCACCACCAAATTCCATTCAACTGACAGAAAAGAAATCAAATCCTTTTAAAAAGAGCCCACTTTCCCCACAAGAATGCTCCCTCGGCCTTTTGTTGCAGGGCTTTGCTCGCTCCCAGCAGCTCAGAGGAAGCTGCTCCAATACATTAACCAGTTTAACTTGCTCGTGACCCCCTCTGCCCAGTGCACAATGAAACTCTTCGCCCGCTTTTTTCCCCAGCTCCTTTTCAGGAGCTAAATCCCCCGCTGTTCCCCGCTCGCTGCTTCTCTCCCTCAACCTTTCTCAGGCCTCTGCTTCAGCCTCGGGAAAATAATAACGCTTTGCATTTGTATAGCCCCCTGGCCCCGTGGGATCTCAAAGTGCCCTGCACGGATCGCATCGTGTCGTCGTCGTCGTCCCCGCCTTGCCGAGGGGACCCGCAGTCTCCCTAGGTGGAGGGAGAAAGCGATGTAGGGTCTGAGGCCACAGAGGGTGGATGGGGTTTGCAGCAGGTCCCAGCGTAGAGCAGTGCCAGAGCTGGACCACATCTGGGGACGATGGGGACGGGGACAGTTCAGCATCAGGAGATGCATCATGAGAACCCATTGCAGGAGATTTGGGTGCTGGGCAGAGAGGGACCGACGTGCTCCGCTCTCTGCAGCCACCTCAATGGTACCGCCAGACCCTCTGCTACAAGGGCAGGAAGGTTTTTTTTCTTGCCAGGGTGGTTAAAAAAACCCCAACAGATGAAAAAAACGAGCCCTCGCACTGGCCCTGAATAGCAGAGCCCGTCAGACAATAGGAAGTTAACCAAACCCGGGCCAGGGAGCGCAGAAGTCTGCCACGGGGCGCTGCCGTTTTCCTACCAGTAATTGATGCAAAGTCTCTTTTGTGCTCTCAGAAAATCCCAGAAAGAAAAAGCGGGGGGTGAGAGGGGGCCCGCGGGCAGGATCCGACTCTCGGGCTGCCCTCCTCCAACATCTCCCTCGCACACCTCGGCCGTGCGGTCGGAGCAGCGGCCGCCCAGCCGCACGTCGGGGCCGAACCCCGTTAAATACCCACGACAATGCGATGGCAGCGAAGTCGGCACCTGACAGAGCTTTTAACCCCTGTCTGATGAAGCGCGTAAATTGTTCCGGGTGGACAATGCAGCTTTGCAGCCCAAGCGCAGCGTTTCTTTCAGATGAGCTGAACACTTTATTACTGGGGATTTATTAACCATTTTTAGCAGCCCTGAGAACCTGGGAGCTTCATAGGGACCACCTATCGAGAGCTGGGGTCAGGCTGCGACCGGGGGCAATGCAGAGGGTTTAAACCAATTTAAACCAACCTAATACCACAGTATGGCTGAAAGAGAGATGCCCCACGTGCAGCCCCAGCCCTGGGTCAGTGCAGGGCTGAATCCAACCCGCTCCAGTGGGAAACCAGTACGGAGTTTTGGTGAGGTTAATTTGCAGTGGGAACGAGCTAGTGGGGTTCCTCTGCAAAGGGCATATCCCTGAGATCTGGGGGACTTGGGCAGCGGGTTCTGGCTCAGATGCATCCCTGTGGAGCCGGACAGAGCGGGGAGCGCACAACCACCCTGCTGGGCTCACCCTGTGACATCTCAGTGGGGTGAGTTATGGGCCGTGTCCAAAATGGCATCATTCTGGGGGAAGAAAGTGAGATTCCCCTCCGAGTACTGCCGAGCAGCCACGACACCATCCCTGTCCCGTAGCCCTTATATTAATGGGGCACCCAAATTTGTCTGGTGCTGGGGCTACCCTGGTTAGGGTTAGGCTCTTCATACCCAGAAGAGTGGCTGAACGCCACTGAACTGGGCACGGGGCATTCCTGCGAGCATCCTCCCTGCGGCAGCCTCCTGCTCCCCGCCCCTTGGGTACCAACCTGTGCCCACCAAGGGGTAAGCAGGGCAACTACTTACCCCATCACCATTTCCCCAAGGGAACCCCAACATTTCCCGTGCCTCGCTGAGGACATCCACGTGGCAGGCGAGGGTCGAGCCAGGAGGCCAGGCGCCTGAGAGGAAGCCTGTGGGGACGTGGCCAGTGGCCGGACAATCCCAGGGGATTCTGGCTCCGACGGGACAATGCCGCCGAAAGAACGGCTTCCCCTCGCTGCCACGGCTCACTGACCCTGGGCAGCTGGGCTGAGCCGAGCGCCAGCCCCGGGAAGGGAGTTACGGGCAGCACCGGGGGCCAGGAGAACCCTTGTGCCGGCGCTGGAGGCGGCACGGTGGCTCGCCAGACCCCGACGCATGGCTCGGGGGCCGGCGGCACACAGAGCCCGTATTGTCACTTGCCCCGCGGCGCCGGCGGGGACCCCAACATCTGGCCACGGCGCATGTCCCCAGCCAGCGCCGGGGCTGCGGGAGCGGGAGAGCAGCTGGTCGGGGGAAAAGTGTTTTTCGTCCCCTTTTGGCTCCCGGAGAAAGGAGCTCTTTCTTCATTCAGGGGTTTGCCGATCGGGCTTTTCAGCTGCCTCTCGAGCCACGGTTGCTGTGCCATCGGGTTGGAGACAAAGGGCGCCCGAAGAAAAAAAGCAAATTGAGACTAGAAGGCTGGGCTCTGCAGCAATAGGGGGAAGTGGGGAGTGTGGGATTCGGTTCCTGTGTTTGTACGGTCTAACTGCTTTTTTCTTCTTTTATTATGGGAGGCTTCTTTGGAGGCACAGGTCTCTCCCCAGACATGGGCACTGACATGCAAAACCAAACCCCACAGCCTCCCCGAGCGTTTCTAGCCTGGAGCCATGGTTGAAGGACTGACCAGGGGAATGTATAGGCTAAAATCAGGAGAAGGCAAATGCTGGGGCTTGCCTGAGGAAGCAGCTTCCCTGCTTCGTCCTGCCTGGTATTATGGTATTGTTTATGCAGTGCCAGAGATGAATGGAGCACGTGACAGCAGGAAAAATGCAAGTTGGACAACGTCCCTGCCCAAAAACGCAGCAGCCCCTGATTATGGCATTACACTGCAGCCCAGACCCAAACCCAAATCAGCCTCCCTGTAGCAGCACACACGCTGGGAGAGAAAAACCCCAAGAGCTCCCTGCCTGCAGAGAGGGTGGATAAGGGGGAAAAGAGGCCCTGGGGTTTGGCGTCAGTAAAATAGCAGGTTGGTGGCATATCCAAGGCCAGATTTCAACCCAGTTTTCCCTTGGAGCCACCACTTCTCCCACTGCCTGGCTGGAAAAACAGTGTCTCATTTAGCAAAGCATCGTTATCATGGTTAGCGATCACCAAAGGGGCTTGCTTGGCGTCTATGTAGCATTTATTTTTGGACACCCCTGCACCTTGGGGCTGCCCATCATCCAAAGCACGGTGCTGCACCCGGGATGGGGTTAGCTGGGTTTGGGAGCATCTCCCGGGAGGGATGAGAACAAACCCCCCAGTGCCCCGTTCCCGGATTTACCCACCAGGCTGGAGCTTGGTGAAATTGAGAGGAGTGCTGTGGTTTTGGGGGGTTTTGGGTTGTTTTGTTTTGTTTTTTTTTTAATAATGTCTCAGAAGAGACTGATGGGAAACTGCCTGGAGTTTGGTCAGGCTGGTCGGCTTTCTGGTAACCTCTTGGACACGGCTGTGAGAAAACCTCGGCGCAGGGCTCTGGGAAATAAAAAGCTGAGTGGGGAGGGGGGAAACACACCCCTTGCTACGGACGAAACGGCCAACGATGCTCCCTGCTCGCTGGTGGGGCTGCAGGGACGGGTGTACCCCCATCCTCCCCATCTTCCCACACCCCCCCCAGGCCTCGCAGGGAGGGAAAGAGAAGCAGGCAGCCTGCCTGCACCCTGCCACACGCTCCAAAAAAAGCTAAAGGCAAAAGCAGGAGGTGACCCGAGGGCAGAAGCCAGGCAGGACGGGGCCGAGGGGGGGGCAAGAAACGCGAGTGGAGGGGGACACGGGGCAAGGCGCGGGGTTTTGGGGGAACGGAGCGGGCTGGCTGCGGGCAGGGCAGGGCGCTGGCTGCCCACGCCCCCGCGTGGGGGGCGGCCCCCGGTCCCCGTCCCTC